ATAAATAAATAATAAATAAATAAAAGCATAAATAAATGAATAAATAAATACATGGCATTTCAGAATGCGACGTCTCCATCTACACACCTGAGCACATGCACAGAGCCCTGGACTATCTGGTCCACGAGATGGACGCTACAGAACGCGACATTTTTTTCACTGCACCCCTCACACTGCCTACGATGAACCCAGGAGACATTGCACGCGCCATTCAGAAGTGGACCCCTCTGATTCAGCTGCTGAAGAATGTGAGTTGTTTTTTAAAAAGTGAGCTGTTTCTTTAACTGTTTCTGATTCAGTTGCTGAAGAATGTGAGTGTTTTTTTAAAAAAAGTGAGCTGTTTCTTTAACTGTTTCTGATCCAACTGTTGAAGAATGTGAGTTGTTTCTTTAAAAGTGAACTGTTTCTTTACTTTTCTCTGATCTGATTCAGCTATTTAAGAATGTGAGTTGTTTTTTCAAATGTGAGCTGTTTCTTCAAATGTGAGTGGTTTCTTTAGTTGCCTCTGATTCAGCTGTTGAAGAATGAGAGTGATTTCTTCAAATGTGAGTGGTTTCTTCAAATGTGAGTTGTGGTTTCTATAAAAATGAGCTGTTTCTTATACTGTCTCTGATTCAGTTGTTGAAGAATGGTAGTAATTTCTTTAAAAATTGTCTCTGAATCAGCTGTTGAAGAATGTGAGTGGTTTCTTTTGAAGTGAGTTGTTTCTTCAATTGTCTCTTTTTCAACTGTCGAAGAATGTGGGTTGTTTCTTAAAAGTGAGCTGTTTCTTTAATTGTCTCTGATCTGATTCAGCTGTTGAAAAATGTGAGAGTTTTTTGTTACCTGTTTCTAATCCAACTGTTGAAGAATGTGAGTTGTTTCTTTACAATTGTGTTAAAAAAAATTCAAATGTGAGTTCTTTCTTTACTTGCCTTAAATTTCGCTGTTGAAGAATGGGAGCTGTTTCTTTAGTTGCCTCTGATTCGGCTGTTGAAGAATGGGGGTTGTTCTTTTTAGGGGGGGGGGGGTACACCTTGACAGTCACGAATTGGGTCAAACTATGGATTTTAAGCTGTCGCCATTTTTAGCTTCTTCAGCCTTTTATTTTACAAACTTTTCATGGCATAAGAACCCCCTAAAGCCTTACTTCTTCCCCTACAGGGCATGTTTGTCACCACCATTTCCTCATAAAGTCAACCATTTCTTTTTCTTTATCTCCCGTTTTCTCGATACGGTTTTTTCTTTATTATACGTTTTAAAATAACTCAGCCATTTTTTATCCAACCTTCATGAAATTTTCACAAAATGAAGAAAATATGTAATACTAACAATTTGTATGATTAGTTTTTTTATAAATGGAATAGTTTTTTATGGGTAGTGTTTGGAGTGTGGATTTTCACGGAATTTTTACAGATTCTTATTTGACCCGTTCTTTTCGGAGATAGATGTTTAACTCGGAGATACCGCCTCATAAATAACCTAATAGTGTTGCTGGGGGCGTTAAACCTATACCCATACCATTTCTCCCCAAGCCTATACGAATACTATTTCTTTCCAAACCTATTCCCATACCATTTCTTCCCAAACCTATTCCCATACCATTTCTTCCCAAACCTATTCCCTTACCATTTCTTCCCAAACCCACACCCATACCATTTCTTCCCAAACCTATACCCATACCATTTCTTCCCAAACATCTACCGATACCATTTTTTCCCAAACCTACACCCATACCATATCTTCCCAAACATATTCCCATATCATTTCTCCCAAATCTATACCCATCCCATTTCTTCCCAAGTCTATACCCTTCCCAAACATTTACCGATACCATTTCTTCCCAAACCTATACCCACCCCATTTCTTCTCAAACCTATACCCATCCCATTTTCCCCCAAGCCTGTATCCTCCCCAAACATCTACCGATACCATTTCTTCCCAAACCTATACCCATCCCATTTCTCCCCAAACCTATACCCATCCCATTTTTTCCCAAGTCTATATCCATACTATTTCTTCCCAAACCTATACAAACCTATACCTATACCATTTCTTCCTACAGAGAGACTTCCTGATCGAGTCAAATAACGTGATCCCCATCGACATGTTCGGCGTGATGTGCGACAATCTGCTGGTGAACAGGAGCACTCTGCTCGAGACTCTGCTCCTGAATGACAGACTGCCGGACTGCTCGTCCTTGCTGATCACAGAGAGACACGTCGACAATGTGAGTTACGACTTCTTGTCTCAGTTCTTGGGAGAGTAATGGATATCTGGGTACCTCTTAGAGGAACGGATATCTGGGTACCTCTTAGAAGAGCGGGTACTTGTGAGAATGACGGATATCTGGGCACCTCTCAGTCTTAGAGGAACGGATATCTGGTACCTCTTAGTCTTAGAGGAACGGATATCTGGGTACCTCTTAGTCTTAGAGGCACGGATATCTGGGTACCTCTTAGAGGAACGGATATCTGGGTACCTCTTAGAAGAGCCGGTACTTGTGAGAATGACGGATATCTGGGCGCCTCTTAGAGGTACAGGTATCTGAATACTTCTTAGAGTAACAGATATCTGAATATTTGTTAGAGTAATGGATATCTGGGTACCCCCAAGAGGAGCGGATATCTTGGTACCTCTTAGAGGAACGGATATCTGAGCACCTCTTAGAGGAGCGGATACCTGAGTACATATTTGAGTAACGGATATCTGGGTACCTCTTAGAAGAAAGTAACAGACACCTTTTAGAGTGACGATTGTCTGTGTATGTCGTAGAGTAACGAGCGTCTGGGTAACAGATGTTTGGATATCTCTTAGGGTAACGAGTATCTGGGTATCTCTTAAGGTAACGGATGTCTAGATATCTCTTCGGGTGACGGATATCGCGATATTTTATGGAATAACGGAGGTCTTGATGTCTCTTAGGGTAACGGATGTCTAGATATCTCTTAGGGTAACAGATGTTTGGATATCTCTTAGGATAACGAGTATCTGGGTATCTCTTTGGGTAGCAAAAGTCTAGATATCTCTTTAAAAAACGGATGTCTAGATGTTTCTTAGATCAACGGAGGACAAAATATCTCTTAGAGCTACAGCTTGTCTGAGTACCTATTTAATAGGAAAGAAGAATCGGAACCCCACCAGAACACCCATCAACCGCTCACCCACCCACCCACATTCCCCGTCCTCTCATATTATGTTTTGTCCTCTTGCAGAACACGGGCGTCTTTCCTGACGTGGGCAGAGGCAAAGCTTTCTACGCCAAGCTCCGGCAGACCACCCCAGACTGGGACCTCTACATGCTACGCTTCTGTCCTGAGGCCCTGACTCCGGGAGACATTGACAGAATCCAGTCTCAGAACTTTTTTGATCCGTAAGAATTATTTGAGAGGCATCGTGGTGAAATCAGGCGCTCGTCAAAATAATGAAATCGAAGAAACGGGTTTTTTCCGGGTGGTTTAACAATTTTTATCAAATTTCTGTGTTTTGGCTGAACACCCTTAATGTCCATTTAAAGCCACATTTTTTTCTGTGAATTTTACTGAAAAATGTAAATTAAAGACACACACAAAACCCGCAAATGCAACTAGCCAAACTTTGGCGCCATTTTTTTGCTATATTTACCTCTGAAACCAGGCCACCCCATTTTTCTCCAAGTGTGAATATCTCAACTTATATTTACCATAGATTGATACTTCTTTCATCAAAAGCGAGACTAATGTACAAGCTTTAAGATAATACTAAAAACTACACATGCCCAAACATTGACGAGAGCCTGATTCCACCGTGTTGAGACACAATTTTCTTCTTTTTTTTTTTACATTACTCTTGAAAATTGACTTACCGCAGTGGATCTTCTTTTTTAAAACCATAGTTTGGTTTCATTGATTCGGTGTGGAAACTTTATTGTCTCTTCTTCGCATCACGAGTATGCGACGATGAGAGTGACGTGTTTTGTGGTGATGATGAC